CCACAGATCTTCGGGAGGAATACCATTCCTGCAGATATGTATGTACTATTAATTTGCACACAATGAACAAAAAATTCACGCTACCTTTTAGCGTTTCCCACCAGTTGACCACGCGTTCATCCTTTTCTGCGCCTTTCAGGTACTCTCTGGAGCCCCAAATGGTTTCTTTTGCGGTTCCACGCTTGCGCCAGGTGGAAGGCACATCCTTCAACAGTCGCATTTGGGAATACCTTATTGGCCGCATGGATGGCAGCTTTTTCGAAATCAAGCACTATGCGCCTGGGTGTTTCACCTAGCAGACTCCTCTTCAGGTGCTCGAATACTCTCTTGTACCCGCGACGAGTTTTCTTTTCCATTATGCAGAACATCAGTGGTACGTCAAGGTCTTGGTTGCAGACACCATGCACGCAGTACAGCTGCGCATAGCGCCCCAAGGTCTTCGGCTGCAAGGTGTGAGACCAAATGTTATGTTTACTGTAGGTACCTGGATGGTGCGGGTGGAGAAATAAATGTGGAACCCCGGTTCGTCCAGTTGCAGAAACGGAGAGCCATCATGAAGCTTGCGGAACTCCTCCGGCACATTTTCCATCGTAACTGAGCGATTCACCCACTTTCTCAGGCTCTTAACTATTGCTGGTTTTCGAGAATTGTAGCCCGATCTACGAATGTTTGCTCTGATGGAGTCCTCCATTTCCGCTGTAATAGTAATGTGAAACTAGGAAGCAACACTGCGAAATATCACAGATAGACTACCGTTGTCCGCTTCTCGACGTTGGGCCACGAGATCGAAAAATACCTGCACTGGCTTTATTGCAGCGTATTTGGAGTCCTCCCTAACATGTTTCAGCTCCTGAAAAGCATCTTCAGTCTCTTCTTGAACTGCCTTGAAGATGGCTACACTTCACCTCGTAGACGGCTCTGTCTCCTCTCTCTCTCTGACATACTTTTCTGGTCGGCATTCATGGTCCAGTCTGCACGGATCCGTCAGAAACTCGTCACCGATTACCTGACAAGTAATTGTCGGATACATTCACGAAATCCAGCTGATTTGCTCACTTTTATTGTATCTCTTAGGACATCTTCACCATGTCTTCTGCTTTCCTTCCTGCACTGTACGCAACGGTAGACCTCCACGTTTTTATTCGCACGCTTCCTCGCAAAAGTGTACGCAAATTGCGTGCCTGGAATCCTATAGATTAGGACACTGTGCTTCCCTTGTTTGCTTACCTGTCGCTCTCCTTTGAACCGTTGGTGTGACGGTTCTTCTCTCTGAAAACTTCCTTCTGCCGGAGAAGCCGGGACAGGATCACGGGCGGGGACTACGTAACCTGAAAGTTGTGGTGTGGGGGGTAATGTGCGGTACAATCTGATCCACGTAATACGAGGGTGCTGGTGTAGCGGCGGAATAAGATGTTGCTTCCTGACCGACGAAGTAGGATGTTCCCGGTGCTGGAGTAACGCAGTATGTTGGTTCCTGACCGACGAAGTGAGAAGGTGCTAGTGCGGGAGGAAATGTGCATGGTGATACAAGCCCTACGTCATACGAAGGTGCTGGTACCGGATAAAAATTGGTGTGGCGGTGCTAGATACAAAGGTGTGGGAGACGACGTCTGAGGAAACCCTGAAAACGGAACGGCTGCATCCACATAAGAGCAGGAATCGGCAGAATATAATAATGAAGGATTAGTACTTGAATACATGACAACACAAGGAACTTGCTCAACAACAACTCACGTGTTTGCTTTCTACCTGTTAGCTTAAGTATCTACTCATGACCTCTCGTTGAGGTGTTGTGTTTGGCCAGAGGGCTTTCAAGTGATAAAGAAGTCATTATCGGGATAATATAGAAGAGGCCAGAGGGTCATTACCTGAACTAACCCGCCGAAGGCAGGCAATGAGGTTCAGCGATATCCAAGGATGCACTTCGTAAACAGTATGGGTTTCCACGTGAGTTCTTGAAGCTTTTCGTCATGAAATTTGAAATGATTGAGCTTATAATTTTTTATCGATGCTATTGAAAGTAGCCATTAAATTACCACTCATTCAGTCGACAGCCGTAGAGTGCCCTTATGCGTATTACTTTTTGAATACCTTCTTCTCTTTTCTGGAAAATCGTCACGTTTTATTTTGAATCTGTTCTGTGAGTTTTCACTCAATTTGTGATCTTGGTAGCTCTCCGCTGCCTCGGCTCAATGAATACGCTTCGCCACCTCATAATGACGTCTTCGCACCTCGTTAATTATGCCTCGAATCGTAGGTGCGACAAGTCCTTAACGATAAGAGGTGACGCGTACCTGGCAGCGAGGCCTTAATCATGAACGAAAACTTGGGTGTCTAGCTGCGAGGTGACCTCATTAAGAAGGGAGAGCTTACAACTGAGGTCATTCGGGTCATCATGCACATTTCAGATATGGTTTGTTGCCCGTGTTAGGTCCATATAAGAATCATGAAAATCGGTTGAATTTTTGCTACGCATCCCTGAGAATGCCAAGAAATGAGTGAAAATTGCTGAAGAGATTCGATTACGAGCCAATCTGCTAAACTCTTTCACAATTTCAAATTTGAGTATACACAGCTGAGGAGAAGTTTGTCAACCATGCATCGAGAACAGCACAAAAAAGGTGGGGAAAGTACCTTATACTGCCAGCGTGAGATACTGTTGCAGTTCCTTGAGTAATTTTCGCCAGAATACCACTTCCGCACTCAGTCGGGAGTAAGTTAGTATCATGTGTCGGCAACAAGTGACCTTGCGTACTTTATAAATGTCAGAACCGTGATCAGGGCTATTGATGACCCCTAATACAGAGTTTCGCAAAATTCCCCTCCGGAGTTTTTCAATTTCTTCGAAGTCATACCGAATTTGAGAATAGAAATTTGTGAAGGTCGGTTTTGCCGATGACCTAGACGAGATGCGGGATGATGTGCCACTGCCAATGCAGTGGCCGGTCCACTGTCATCACGAACTCTTTTCTTTCTTGAAAAGCTATATACAAGGGTAACTGGTCGCCTCGAATCTGAACACCTATTTTTGCTATCGAGGCCATTTCGCGCCAGCGTAGGCGCTGAACAGCTAAACGCGTTGACAAAGTTTCAGTGCCAATAATCTCCTGCACCAAATCAACAAGAAATTGCGCCATGGCCAGACGAGAGTGCCTTGCTCATGAGCAGGACATCGGGTGAACCCGTAGCCCAACTTTCAGCAAGTTTTTCAATAGTATATCGCGAGCGCAATAATTAAGGGGCATCGGTCGTGAACTTTTAGAGTACAAATTGAGCCCTTAAATGGCACATTATTGTGAAGGAAAGAGTATCCCTACACATATTTCATTAACCTTGTTCCTCATTTTATTGATCATCCCTCACTTATTATGAAAACATGTGGATAACAAGATGACCTCTCAGCCCTCGTTCGTTAATGAGGTCATCTCGCAGATAGACACCAAGTTTTCGCACCTCATTAAGGCTGTCTCGCTGTCTTAATTGAGTGCGATCGTACCGATAGTCCGTCAACCTAATATATTGCTGTCTGGCATGTAAATAGTAGTTATCCAGGTTGACTTGTAAAACGCAAAACTGGCATTTATGGAAATTCAAAAGCTGTGCAAACACTTGACATTTCTATTGCCTCCAAGTACAGAAACTCAGTTGAAAATCTTACGGATCATGGAGAGTTACTAAGAGAACGAACATCAGTCAATGATGAGGGGGGAATTTTAATTCAAAGCATTCGATTTTCATCAACATTTTTGAAATTGTGATGAAAATTGAAATTTAAAACATGAAAAAATTTCGACAACGGCAGTCCTAACTGATCTGTTCTGCAAAATAGTGAATAGAAGAGACCACAATGGTAGTTGACATTAACGGACTGATCAATACTATGTCCTGAACCACGGCGAAATAACTACCTGGGAGGTCGATTGATCGCTGATAGGGTAGAGAGCCGGGGAGAACTGCGAAAGGTCATAGGAAGCTCCATGAGGTGATTCTCAGCATTTTTCACTAAGATTCCAACGGTGTGACTTTGACTGGGATTTTCTTTTCATAAAAAAACACGTAAACTTGGCTCTGAAAGACCCTATTTTCCTCGAAAGCTAGACTGTAAAGAAGCAGTGAATTCGAAGTAATGTTTTAATTCAAATTTTCACCTGAACTTTCATATGAAACTCTATCATTGGTGATACCAAAACCATGCTGTTTTCAAATATGCTGGTAATTCTGACTTTGAAACACTTTGGTCCAAGATCATGGTCCAAGTGGAGGGTTTACGACATGGCCATATCCGTAGGTAACACCTTAGGTGACAGGAGACTCAATCGTGGTTTTCCCTTAGAATCAGTTAGAAATAGTAGGAAAATGTAGAAAATTTGTACACGGTTAGATTCATAATGAACACGGCTATCGACTGGTCTAATTTTCAGATCATTCGACCACTTCTACGGAAGTTATGGCAATGCGACGGTTTGCGACGGATTAATCCGTCGCAAACCGTCGATTTTGCAAAACGGGGCGGTATTGTAGCTACGATCCACCCTCTCCCCTTCATATGCCCTATCGCATGGATCATGACTATATATTCCTCGAAAGGGGTGAATCTGCGCGCAAAAGAAAGTTTCCCCGTTGCCGGAAACATTCTCTCCCTGGTTTTTCTTTTGCCTTTGGTTTTATATCATTGAAATGAGCCGTAGAAAGCTGAAACCTCGCGTGCCCAAGTTTCGTCGTCCTTTCGAGAAGAATTACTGACGGCGGACCTTTCAATACAGGGCGCTTTCAGAAGATTCTGGAACTGCAACTCGCTTAGAACCAGTCTGGTAGAAGCTTCCTGGAAACACTAGTCGCACTTGTCGCCCTACAGAACTACTTCCTGAGCAAGGCTAAAGCTATTCAATGAAGCTGGGAGAGCACACCACTTGCGGCGAGCGACGACTCACCTGCTCTTCTCTCCTGCGAGATAGTTCGAAAAAAGCCCATAGATGGTTTCTGGCATATTTAAAGCAGAGAACAAATGATTACGATGGGAAGGTGAAGTAACTTGGTGAAGTGAATTGTGTCTATTTTTTACTGCGAGGAAAACGCTCAAGATCCAATTTCTTCGATCTGCTATTGGAGTAGGTTTTTCTTTAGGTTCTGCGGAGCATCCACTGCATTCAATAATGTCACTTTTACACTGACCCATGGTTCACTTAGGCTGGAATCCCTAGGCTTAGATAAAAATCTTAATAATCTCATAATCCGGCCTGGACTTGTTTCTTTGCACTTTTCAGCGTGAACTGTTTTACCGTTTGAATATAGCACCCAGAACGGCCAACGGTGTAAATGGTGTATTTCCCAGATTTGACCAAAACGCGGGATACTATTTTGCAAGTTTGTCAATTTTTTGGAATGAGCAGAAGAGCAGATGAGTCATCGCTTGCCGCCAGTCGTGGGTCTTCCCCCCTCCGCCTTCCACAGCAACCCCGCAAGCACGTTAGCACAGCTTAATACAGGCTTCCAGCGGCTGGCCGTCACAACTCACATACATACAGTCCATCATATCTGCAGACCCGGTGGCAGCGGTGCGTGTGACTCGGCTGTGACGCGGCAGCGATGACAGTCGCGTCACAGCCGAGTCACACGCCCGCCCCACCGGTCTGCAATGATGAGCACCATACATGTATGTTCCTTCGATGGAGGGATAAGCGCGTTTTTCGC